ATTATGTAAGGCAAAAGGAGATCAAGAAGAAGCTTTGACTCAAACAAGTGAACTTCAAACACGAGTGCAAAACATGGAGGAGCAGATAAAGGAAATTGTCATGGCATGGAGCCAGAAATTAATGCTAAAAAATAGGAAGTGATTAGAATCATGAAAGAATATGAAGTTATGGTGAAAGAAAAGGATGGTCATTGAGTATTGGATCAAGCATTTTGTACAACTTGCATCATTGGCTAATAAAGTGATTGATGACATCCCGCGTATGTTGTCAAATGCCGACATAGCTACATTTTTCTATATGATTCCCCAAGAAATTTAAGACTTCCTCAGTCATTGCAACTAGTTAAGAAAAATGTATAGGTAAGAAAAAGAAAAATTTATTTTAGAATAAACTGTGATGTAATTTTTTAAATTAGATGAATATATATTTGATATTTAATTTTAGTATTTTTATTTAAATATATTTTTTACATGAAAAATAAAATATTTGATTAAAAAATTTTAAACCATTAAAGTTTAATATAATATATGAAAATAATTAATATTAAATTAAACAATAATGATTAATTTTAATATTAGAATAATTTTTAATAAAAATATAAATGGTAAACATTTAACGAATTATGAAATAATCTGAATTATTAACCCATATAAAACACTTTAAAATCTATATAAATTAGATAACCTGCATTCATTATTTAAAAAAATCAAATAAATAGATAAAATTAAAATTCCTTAAAAGTTATTTTTATTTTTATTGATATTATTTATTAATTAAATCTGAAGTTTTATTTATGATAATTGTAAATATAATTTTTTATTAAAATAAATTAAACTTTAATTTTTAACCATAAACAAGACTAATTCGAGTTAAATAACAATATAAAATTATTATAATAAGATAAATTTTATATTTAATAAATTGTAAGGTTAAATTTAATTTTTTCAGTCTTGAAATTAAATGAAACACATTTTTTTTTTAATTTTTTAGCATGCTAATTACGTGCTCGAGTGGATTTATTTTTTTATGACTAAGAAATATAGATACAACAGAGTAAAAGATAAACTAACCTTAGCCAGTAAATAATTTACTAACTTATGTTAAATTCAATTAAAAGTTTTTCTCGTAACATTAACTAAAATTTTTAATATATTTAAGCATAATTTGTAAATATATTTAAATGAAAATATTATTCTTAATTTTTTCTTAAAAATAATTATTAATATTTTTTATTTATAATTTATTTAAATTTTAAAGTTTTTGCAAAATATATAATATATTTTATGATAAATACATTATTTCCTTAACTACAATAGGGGTGCATAAAAAAACCAAATTATAAAAGTCCATACATTATATTGTTCCTACTCCTAAGTATAAACATTAATATTTATAAACTATATATTCAATTTAAAACTAATTTAACCTGTTGAAATTTCTTGAAATGATAGGTTGTCAATTAACTTGTTGTTTAAAGTAATTATGATGAATTTGTGAAAAATATGGGCTCTCGAGTGAGTAACTTTAAAAAAATATTAAAAATATATAATAATATTTCAAATTTAAGATATTTTCAAAATTGAGAAAGTCAACCTAAACAAAGAGAAAAATATAAATATTTTAAGTGGCCTAATCTATTTGAAATTTATTTTAGGCCTGGCCTAACCTATTTAAGTAGTCTGGCTTGACCTAAAGCCTGTTAAAAAAGCCTGTTACAAAAAAAATATTTTAATATTAATAAAAATATAAATATTTTATTATCAAATTAGTTTACATATTTTTCTAATTTCCATCTATATTATTAATAATTATTAAATAATTATAATAAACACTGAGTCCGGTGTTGATCGTCTTGGTCACCTGAAAAAAAAAATTAAGGGTGAGTACTCTACACTATCACAAACAAACACAGAGACTGACCTTGCATGTTTCCAAACATTTCATAATTTAATTTAAATCACGTATTACAATTACATGCACATCAAGGCACATATCAATCATTTACACACGAGTGCGCTCACTGCACCTCCAATCAATCCACACACACGTGTGCTCAATGCACGTTAGTCACGCTCATTGTGGCACTGTGATCACAGTTTCCTGATACCCTCAACCTCAGAGACTTACTTAGTTTTACACCATGGATGGTCGCTAGAGAGCCCCTGCCTCACAGATACAGCATGTGCGGTCATAAGCCCCATGGCAAAGGTGTTAGTAGGGTGTGTGGCTGTGGTGCACCCACGCCCACTGTTGGTGTCACCACCACCCTTCTCTTCCCCAATGTATTTCTACTGCCCCCATCTTCCACACCTCCAGTGTATCACTAAACCATTCATAGTTTCCAACAGATTTAAACACATTCACATTCATAATTCATCATGCCTTCCACACACACATTTCACTCATCTCATAGTATTCATTCTCAATCAAAGGCACAAATATTCATATTCCACCACACAATATTCAATCACACATTCTTCATCATGATGTCTCTACAATCATTCATTTCAACACACACAACTACCACATTACACTCAAACATCAATCAAACTATGTCCTCCACAACTTTTTCACCACAATTTCACTACAATCAAATCAATTCCATTAAAACACGCATATTCCTAACCATTCACATTACAATACATAGCAAAATAACGGATTCAAACGCAATAAGATAGGGTAGAGTTCCCCTCATACCTCAAATCGAAGACCCAATATAATCTAAAGGTAGAAAACGCCTCCCACGCAGTATCTCAGCCTAAATACATGGAGGAAATTCGTGAGAAATTGGAAAGAACCTAGAAGCATGGAAAAACATAGACTCTAACCCTCACACTTACCTCCAAATGCTCCAAACGTGATTACAAACTTCAATCTTGCTCACAATCGACTTTGGAGGCAGTTTAATCGATGAAATAGGGTTGGGAGTCGAGAGAATCAAAGAGAGTTTGAAGAGAGCTTTCCAAACCCTAAACCCCTCAAATACCCCTTCTGATCGCGACACTCTCATTACAGCAAAAATCTCAGAGAAAACTGCACTCTGGTTTCTGCAAGATCTCGCTACAGCGAGACCCTCTCATTATAACGAGACTACACCCAGAAATGTACCCTCTTTTGTTGCCTTCTCGCTATAGCAAGAGTTCTCTGGCTACAGCGAGAATGCAACAGTTTCAAGTTCTACGTCCAGGGCCTTTTTGCTACAATGAGAATGCCCTTGCAGCACACTCCAACCTATATTTTCCAAATAGTCCAGCCCAATCACAATACAAACATGTCCAAATCTCCATTCAAATCAATATTCACATTTATACTCTTATACACATAGTCATACACTTCCACATCATCACATATATTCAAACCATGCATCCAAACACTACATATACATACACACACACACACACACACACACACACATACATACACATCAAAACAATAACTCACTTATCAATAATAAATAATTTATAAAACTCAGGGCATTACAAGATTAACATATTACAGCATAGCAAATTTTATTTTCAGCTTCAGCAATACAATAAGATATACAATTCCATCCAGCTTCAACAACTCAACTATATATATTTTCACAACAAAATCAAGCATTTCTGTACATGGTACAACAATAAACTAAGTAGCTCAAAATATTAATCAAATATTCTAGCATATATTAACACTCTCGACTCATATATCACAGCATTCTAGCACGTTATATTCCATTATGGCTTTCTAAACACTCATCAGACAACAGATAAATCTACTTGACTATATAGGCTTTGGATTCTGGTTCAGGGTTAACTTATACAGCTCATTATTCTCAACTAGAGTGAAATAATTTATATCAACATCTCAGTCTCTACTAAATAAACTAGATCAGATCAGGTAAGCTTCCCTTACCTGGAACAAGTTCCAAGATAGTGCTCCTAGTGAGATCCGCAGAGATAGATCAATCGTTTAGGTATGAAATACAACTTGAATGGTTCAGATCTACTCATAACAACATGGTATAAATCTCTTGAAAAAGAGAGAGAAGGAAAATGAGTAAAGACCAAAAATTGAGCTCTAAGAACTCACCTAGATCTTGATGAGATAGACAATCTCACTTTGTTCGAGAACGAATTTGGCTTCGAGAAGGTTTTCTATAAGGATAAGAAGTGAGATAACATAGAGAAAACGAGAGAGAAAAGCTATTTGGTGAAAAATGAAGTTTCTGGGCGCTTAGACCCCTTAAATGCCCCTCCAGCCCGCTCTCTCGCCTAAGCGAGCTAATCGTCGCTTGAGCGAGATTTGTTCTCGCCTGGGCGAGCTCACCCTCGCCTGGACAAGAAAATTAGACAATGACCTCTTAGATTTCTGCTATTCTCGCTTGAGCGAGGAACACCTCACTTGAGCGAGCTGCATCTTGCCTGGGCGAGCAGCATTCTCGCCTAAGCGAGATTGGGTCCAGAGAGGTACCCATTTTCCTCCTCCTCCTCACTTGAGCAAGCACCTCTTGCCTGAGTGAGGTCGCCTCTCACCTGAGCGAGATCCCTTCTCACCTGGGCGAGGGCATAGCTGAAGTGATCCTATCTGTTCTTGTTTGAGCGAGATTCTCACTCAAGCAAGAACACTCCAAAATATCTAATACTGCACGAATTATTCTCGCTTGAGCAAAATTACCCTCGCTTAAGCGACAGACCCTGCATCCAGAGTTCTCAATCTCTCTCTCTTGGATGAGATTATATTGGTTCTCGGTCATACTCCTTAACTTATCTCATGTACAACTCGCTTAACAACCATTCTCTAACCTGCTCTACACATCACACTCAATAACAACATAACACAGCATTTGAGAATATATTGATCCTTACTCAACAATCACACAACTTTTACATTCACATTCCAATATATAAATAATTTATACACTTTAAGCATACACAGCACAATTCAAATGGAATAATGAATACACGTAAATACATCGATCTAACAATTCTCCCCCTGAAAATAAATTTTCGTCCTCAAAAATTTACTCATCATAAAAGAGATGAGGACACTGCTCTCTCATTCGATCCCCCAACTTCCATGTGGCATCACTAGTAATTGGATCCCAAACGACTTTTACTAGTCGAATTGAGTTACCTCTGAGTTCCTTAACTCTAGTGTCTTCAATACATGCAGCTGGAAGCTCAACCAACAAGTCATCTCGTCTTTGCACAGCATCTGGTTTGATTATATAAGTTGGATCCAAAATATACTTCCTTAACTGCAACACATGGAAGACGTCATGCAATCCTACTAACTAAGGCAGTAATGTCAATTCATAGGCTACAGGTCCTTTGCGATGCAAGATCTGATACGGCCCAATAAACTTAGGTGTCAGCTTATTCACCTTCAAAGCTCTACCTACACCTGTAGTTCTTGATACTTTTAAGAACACGTGATCACCTATCTCAAACTCCAAAGGTCTCCAATGCCAATCAGCATATGATTTTTGACGACTCTGAGTTGCTTTCAATTTCTTCTGAATCAACTTAACTTATTTTGTAGTTTTTTGAAGCATCTTAGGTCCAACCATTAAATGAATTCCATCTTGAAACCAACAAACTGGAGTTTGGCATTTCCTGCCATATAAGGCTTCAAAAGGTGTCATGCCAATGCTTGAACGATAGCTATTATTATAGGTAAATTCCACAAAAGGAAGCATGCCCTCCCAATCACCTCTCTAATCAATTGCATAAGCTCATAAGTACTCTAAGGTCTGAATAGTTAGCTCTGACTGACCATTAGTTTAAGGGTGATATGTTGAACTTAGTTTTAGCTAGGTACCCAAAGCTTCTTTAAAACTCTGCTAGAGCTAAGAAGTGAAGCGAGGGTCCCTATCAGAGATGATGCTAGAAGGCACTTCATGCAACATAACAATCTCTCTGATATACAGCTTAGCAAGTTTTTCCATGGTATAGGTCATGTTAACTTGTAAGAAGTGAGCATACTTAGTCAATCGATCAACTATGACCCAAATAGCATCATGATTCCTAATAGTCTTTGGTAAATGGGATACAAAGTCCATGGTCATAGAGTCCCATTTCCATTCAGGGATCTCCATAGTTTGTAATTCTCCAGGTGGACAACGGCGTTCTACTTTTGCCTTTTGACAAGTCAAACAGGCCTTGACAAATCTGGCTATTTCACCTCTCATGCCCGGCCACCAAAACATCTGCTTCAAATCTTGATACATTTTCGTCACTCTGGGATGGAGATTTAAGCTACCCTTATGTCCTTCCTCTAAAATCTTCCTCCTCAACTCAGCTCCTTTAGGGATACAGATACGGTCTTGGTATCAAAGAATACCATCAGCACCTTGATAGAAACCAACTGTGCGATTTGTGCCTAAAAGAAATACAATTCAGCATAATCTAGGATCCTATAATTGTTTATTCTTAATCTCTTGTAGGAATTCACTAGTCACCATAATCCTACTACAACTTATCTTTCCATGTGATATATATCCATTGATAGACGATTGCTGAGTCGCTATCAAAACCAATAAGTTTTCTAAAGATTTGTAGTATAAAGTCAAACCTAGGTCTATTCACAAAGACACATTCTCAATCAAATTCAATTTTAGGTTTTGTTTTAAAAAATATGCAAATAAATAAGGTTTTTGGGGTTTTGAAAATTACAAATTAATTAAATTAGATTACGAATAGAATTAAAGTAAGTAAAAAAGAATTAAGAAACATCAACCACATAATACCAATTGTATGTAACTCTGACTAACACAGTATCTAAAGATTTAAATCCATGTTTGAACAATCACTCAATTCAATTATTAATTCAATCGAATAATCTAATTAAATAGAGTTAGGAATTAAATCAAATAATTATTTAACTTAATTCGCATTAATTATCAAATTAGAGCATCAATCGAGTCCTAATTTGAAATCTAACAATAGAAAAGTCAATCACGACCGCAATAAACAATTCTAAGATTAAAGAGAAAAAAAGAACAAACTCAAAGCAATTAGCGCAAAACTCAAGTCAGAATTACAATGTTTGGATTCTGTGGATTGAACAAGAGGTTTAGCCTTCCATTGAAACGCTTAACCCACGCAAGAATGAGAAAAGAATGAGAGAGTTCAAGAGAAAGTAAAAACAAGGATTCTTATTTCGACCAAGTCTCAAAAGCTCAAAGTGTCTAATCACTTCCCCCTTAATTCAAAATCTTATTAGTCTATTTATAGGTTCTGATTAGGGTAAATTAAGTGGCCAAAATACAGGCCTCAATAATATCTAAAAGCCCAAATACAATTTAAATAACAAGGGTCCAAATGCAATCTCGCAACAATATTCAGCAAATCTGCCTCAACTTCAAATATCATAAAAAATTGAAAACAACTCCAAATCCAACTATCCATATAATTCACACATACACATAAAAATCAAGAGGACTTTTCTAGGTTATAAAAGATCATAGTGAAGGTGAAAAAATTACAAAGGTAATCAAGCTAAGAACAAAGAGGATATACAATTAATGGGGAATGAATCCAAAGAATGTAAGCATGAAAGTAAATCTTCTCAACAAAGATATAATAAAATATAGTCCAAAAACAATCATCTTTTACTTTTGCTAGCCATCCAATGCTCTTTTTCCTTTGTATTGCTTACTTTTTCTTTTTCTTTTTTTCTTTATTTCTCCTCTCTCCTTTTTTTTTTTTAAGTAGCTGATTTTTCTTTTCTCTTGCATTTCTAAAGTAATCTCCCCTAAACTTATTTCTATGATCATTCCCAAGAAAATTTCAAAGTTCTTTTATCCCTTAAGGTTGGGCCATTTTATTGTTTTACAGCTTTGTCTTGAAATGAGCTAAGATCACAAGAAATAGGACAATTAGGCTCAAGGGGGCTTAAACAATGGAAATAATGCAAGGTTAGCTTTTTGGTTAGTAGTTTACAAGAAAGAAATGATATCTCTATCATGTTAAGGCAACCATGAGTGCAATCACACAATGAAGGAAAGTAAAATCACATAATATTGTCATCTATATGCCTCAAAATCTCATAAGGTATGTATTCTATCACAAATAATCAAACACACAAGATATCAAAGTCCACCTATCAAACCGAAGAATGATTCAATCAATCGATCAAAGCCATGAAATAGTCACTTAATTAGACTAAGTACACACCAAAAACATAGTACTCCCCCCCACTTGAAATTAACATTGTCCTCAATGGAAAACACAATAAGCATAAGGACAATTCAAACAATCCAATAAGTGAGAGAGCGATAAGAAAACTCCCTATAAATCGGGGTAGGTGGCCAATTCAAAAGTAGCTTCCTCTTATTCATGTTCCCCCAAGTCCTCATGAAAAACCTTGAGCCAATGCCCATTAACCTTGAAGCTCCTTTGCGATCCCATATCTTGAAGTTCAACAACACCATAAGGAAAAACATTAATAACAAGAAAGGGTCCATCCCACCTAGATCTCAACTTACCAATGTGGAACTTTTTATGCCCTATTAACTTATCATAAAAAGCCTTGGTGCACTCTTTGTAGATATTAGAGTTCTCATATGCTTCTCTACAAATCTCTTCCAACTCTTGTAATTGAAGCTTCCTATGTGAGCCAACTGCCCCTACATCCAAATTACATTGTTTGATCGTCAAGAATGCCTTATGCTCCACTTCTACTGGTAAATGACATGCCTTTCCAAAAATAACCCGATAAGGAGCTTTCTATGGATGTTTTGTAGGAAGTTTTGTAAGTCCACAGAGCTTTCTCCAAGCATAGACTCTAATCCTTTCTGTTGGGTTGGACAGTCTTCTCCAGAATTTGCTTTATTTTCTGATTGGAGAACTCCGCTTGTTTGTTAGTCTGAGGATGGTATGGTGTGGAAACTTTATGCATACTCCCAAACTTTCGAAGTAAGGCAGCCATTGTGTGATTGCAAAAGTGTGATCCCTGCTCACCAATTAATGCTCTGGGAAATCCAAACCTGTAAAAAATATGTGACTTCATAAAATCTATAACAACACGAGCATCATCAGTACGATTGGCCTTTGCCTCCACCCACTTGGAGACATAGTCCACTGCTAACAAAATATAGGTATAGCCAAATGAAACAGGAAAGAGACCCATAAAATCTTTGCCCCATACATCAAACACCTCACAGAAAAGGAGAGGTAGTTAGGGTATCTCATTCCAGCACGAGATGTTCCCAGTCCTTTGGTGTCGCTCATATGTCTTACAGAAGTTGTGTGCATCCCAAAACATGGTAGGCCAATATAGTCCAGAATCTAAAATCTTTCAGGCTATACGTTGAGGTCCAAAGTGTCCAACACAAGCCAAGGAATAACAAATTCTAAGCATAGACTGGAACTCAAGTTCAGGCACATATTGTTTGATAATCTTGTCATTGCACATCTTCCATAAGTATGGATCATCCTAAATGTAGTATTTGGAATCACTCTTCAGCTTGGCAACTTGAGCTTTCGAAAAGTATGTAGGAATCTCCTTGGCAGCCAAATAATTCACCAAGTCTGCATACCAAGGATCATGTCCTCAAATGTGGTAAAGCTACTTATCTGGAAATGTGTCTCTAATAGAGAGATCCTCCAGTGGCTGTTGAATTCTGCTCAAATGGTCTGCCACTAAGTTTTCTGCACCACTTCTATCTCTGATTTCAATGTCAAACTCCTGCAGAAGAAGCATCCAGCAAATTAGTCTCGGTTTAGAATCTGACTTCTTAAACAAGTACCTCAGAGCTGCATGATCAGAGAAAATAATTACTTTAAAGCCAAGTAAATATGAACGAAATTTATCTAAAGCAAAAACAATGGCTAAAAGTTCTTTTTCTGTAGTGGTGTAGTTTGTTTATGCTTTATCCAATGTCCGAGAAGCATAGGCTATGACATAGGGTTGCTTCTCCACTTTTTGACCAAAGACAGCACCAACTGCAAAGTTCAAAGCATCACATATAAGCTCAAACGGAATCTCCTAACTCGGAGGCTGAATGATAGGAGTAGAAGTGAGGCGCCTCTTCAGCTTATCAAAAGCATCCTTGCAAGTCTAATCAAAGATGAAATCAGCATCTTTCTATAAAAAGGTAGATAATGGGGACGCGTTTCTGCTGAAATCCTTGATAAGCGCCTACAAAAACATGTATGACCAAGAAAAGAACACATTTCTTTCACAGAAGTGGGGCAAGGTAAGGAAACAATTACATTAATCTTGGCTCTATCAGTCTCAATACCCCTACTTGACACTACATGCCCTAGTACAGTCCCTTTAGTCACCATAAAATGACATTTCTCATAATTTAAAATCAAATTGAATTGTATGCACCTATCTAAGACCCATAAACAATAAAGTCAGCCATGAATACTTCGAGTAAGGTCTCTAGGAAGTCCACAAAAATGCTCATTATAGACCTTTGAAAAGTGTCAGGTGCATTACATAGTCCAAATGGCATTCGTCTGTAAGCAAAGGTACCAAAAGGACAAGTAAAGGTAGTCTTATGCTGATCCTCTGGGCTATGTGTATTTGAAAGTAACCAGAAAATCCATCTAGAAAGCAGTAATGAGATTTCCTTGCTATCTGTTTCAAGACCTGATCGATAAAAGATAAAGGAAAGTGATCCTTGCGAGTGGCTTGATTCAGCTTCCTATAATCAATACAGACTCGCCTTACCTGGCAATCACATAACTTTTACATTAACATTCCAATATATAAATAATTTATACATTTTAAGCATACACAACACAATGCAAATGGAATAATGAATACATGTAACTACACCGATCTGACAAGTGGAATGAATTGGAATGGATTTAGTCTAGAAGTGTTTTACTAAGCACAATCTTATGAATGGGAAAAAAAATAACTCTGAAAATGACTTTAAGTGTCGAATAAGGATTGGATCTAGTGTGAATAGTTACAGAGATACACTAGGGGTATAGAGTCCAAAGACGATGAGAAATCTGGGAGAAACATAGGTTGGTGAGCGATATTCGCATATGTATACACACTCTTTTTGAGAGCGAATGCATTACTTGGCTTCACACTCGTTTCCTGACTAGACTCCTGACTATGTCGTTGCTAAGGAGACTGACTATTGTATACGTTGTATCCGTGTACATAGGCTAACCGGCGACTATTTACCTAGCTGAATAAGACCTCAAGAAATGCTAGAGGCATCGATATCTGTGATTACAGTGCACTGGGAGTGCGTATTGAAAAAAGAGAATGGATAATGTATAAAATTATTGTGTTATGCATATGTGAATGTGTCTGCAATATGAAATTGTGTGAAAAGTGTATATTTTCTTTATATTAAAAGATATGATTTTGTAATATGATGATTTGTAAATGATAAAATAGACGCTCATCCTTACTAATATGTTCAGGAAAACAGGATGACGAAGCCTTAGGAAAGAGAGGCTAATTGATAGTTCACTACATAATAGGCTTAACTATGTATTTAATGAATATCAAAGATTATGTTATTTTAGGTTTACTGTTCTTGTTGAAGATGTACCCAGAACCTTTTTTATATTGGAGATGGATTTCTTTTATAGTATCCCTTTTGAATTTCTTAGGAGTAGAATACATCAGACTCTATGTATATATCTATATTGGTACTGTTAGAACTCTAATAGCCCTTTGAATTTCTTAAGAGTAGAATACATCAGACTCTATATATATATATCTATAGTGGTACTGTTAGAACTCTAATAGCTCTCACCTATCTATTTACATATCACGCCAATGAGTATCTTGAAAGATCATCCTGATGGACTTTTAAGCGTGTTACTGGCACAAAGGTCACAACTGATTCAAACGATTATTACCTTGGATCATACGATGACCTTATTTTTTAAGATCTAGCAGAGATAGAGAGCTGGCATGGAATCGATTAGTATCAGGTTCTCAGTGTTGAGATATATTTTGGAGACTGCTCTAGGACTTGAATTTGTTTATGTAATGTAAAAATTTTTGTTATGTAAATATTATTTTAAGTCTCATATATTTTGACAAACAGTTTGTAAATGTTAATATTTAATATATATAATGTATATTCAAATTTACTATTAGGAAGAATTAATTCTGGTTTATTGTGGCTTTTAAATGTATTGTTCTTTCATTAATAGTGCGATGTTTGTAAATTGTGTATAAACAAACTCATTAAAGAAAGACTTTAATTAATTTGTAATAATAAAGTTTAGCATACACAATAAATGGTATTTTATCTTGATTTATTTAAAATGAAAATATACATTTTTTATATTCAAAATTTTAGGATATTACAATTTGGTATCAGAGCAGTTCATCCAAACCAGATTGGGGTATGGGACTAGTTTATCGATAGGTGTGTTATGTGTTATTGTTTAAGGATTGTTTGTTAATACAACTTAGTGGTTGAAAAAAAAATTGTTTGATTTGTGTGAGATGTTTGAAATGTTTGTATGGTTTGAGCTAGATGTGAAATGTATGAAATAGAAATTAATGAATGTATTTGATTTTTCTTAGAATTAAGGTTTATGAAATAAAGATTCTGGCCTGCATGACACAAGTCTTGGAAACCTTGGTGCATATCCAAGATATGGAGCCAGCAGAATATCGTTGACTGTTATTGTTCACAAAACACAACCCTCTAAAGTTCGAAGGAAAATTTGATCTAGAGGGAGCTCAGAGGTGGATAGCAGATACAAAGAAAATCTTTAATGCGATGGGATGTCGCCAAGAGCACAAGGTGGTGTATGCAACTTATATGTTGGGGGGGAGAAGTAGAGGATTGGTGGAGGTTTGCCACTCAAACTCTACCACAAGAAGAAGGATATATTCAATGGGAAACATTCAAGGCATGTTTCTTGGAAAACTATTTCCCAAAGGACTTAAAGAAACAAAAGGCCCGAGAATTCCTTGAGCTTAAGCAAGGAATTATGTCTGTGGGAGACTATGCTGCAAAATTTCATGAGCTTATGAAGTACCGGCCTTATTTCTAACATGAGGATGGAGATAAAGATCTCTGCGCCCAGTTTAAGAATAAACTGAGACCTGAGATATGGGCAGTGGTCAGTGTGTTCCAGCTGACTGATCTGCCAACATTGGTCAGCAAATGCTGAATATTTGAGGTCAATTTCAAAGGTAAGACTGTAGATAGCCGAATTGGAGGACTGGTAAAATAGGACCGAAGGCCTCTAAGGTATATTTTGATAAATAGTTTTTAAATTATTATACTCACATCATGTATATACAAGTTTAGTTTCCATATCTTGTAAATATCTTGCATATATTATAATATCTAAATTTACAATTTACTTTATCTAATATCATCAAACTAACAAACTTGGTAAATAATTTTATTCATGAGAGCATATTTAATTTACTTGTATTTGTATTGCCTGTCATATATGAAAATTTGTACTTTATCCTGACTTTGTATAATGAAATGCATATTTTTAAAAATTAAAAATTTGGGGTGCTACAAAATGCGTTATGTCATGATTAACAAAAAAGTTCATCCACGAGAATTCAATGAGGGAGATATGGTGCTCAAAAAGATTTTGCCAACACACAAAGATTATCGCGACAAGTGGTCTCTAAATTATGAAGGACCTACATGGTGAAAAGGGCTTTCTTAGGAGGAGCTTTAATCCTTACAAGCATGGATGGAGAAGATCTTCCAAACCCCATCAATTTTGATGCTATAAAGAAATAATATGCTTAAAAAAATAATAAAAACAAGAAGAAAAAAGAAAAGAAAAGAAAATAGCTCACTAAGTTGAAAACCTGAAAGGGCAACCTAAGCAAAAGTTAGAGTGACCTGGTGAGTTGAAAACTCAAAAAACTAACTCAGGCAAAAATTAAGGTCAAATAAATTATACACTAAACTAAAAACTCAAAAGGGCAGTTCAGAAGAAAGGTGCACTAGACTTTAGTTGCAAGAAAATGGTTCAAAATGGGGCAATATGATGGACTAGAACACTAAACTAGGGTAGTTTTGAGAGGTTAAAGTTGAATCGAACAGGAGATAAGTTCAAAATATCATATTGGGGCAATTATATTTGGTAGTTTTGTTAATGGATGATCAATTTACATGAGAGACTAGCACTGTTCATCGGGAAGACATCACTTAATTGGCATAATAGTTCACTATTTTTGTAGTCGTTCTAATCTTTTGTTTGATGTATTTGTTTTATCTGTTATTCATGTCGCAAGTCTTCTTTGTAAGTTCACCATTTCTTTATTATTGTGATCTTGTTTTCCTAAAAAAATATTTGTCTTTGACTTTTGTCACCTCCCATTTAGTTTATACACCACTTCATTTACTTAAACTCTTCAACAGCATTAACCAATGATTCTATTGTCGTTTCAGTAATTATATACTAAAAGGAAGCATGTAAATTGTAAAAAGGGTAATAAGAAAATATAATTACAATAATAGGCTCTAAAAATTCACATGATAAGTTTGATGAATTTCCTAATAAGTTTAGCGTGACAGAAGAAGTTGACTCCTTATGGCAACTCAAAAATAAATAGTAACCCATTTTGATTGATGTCTCACCCAACTCCAATTTCATGAAAGAATTGATCTAGATCGAATAGCTTACTCATTCATGAACCTTGAGGTGCATGTTCTAATAAGGTTGGAAAATTAGAATCCAAAAAAAAAAAATAGTTTATTTTGATTTAATAGGTCTCATCACAACATTTGATTTCATTCTAAGTGTGAACAACCATTCAGTTTGTGTAATCACATCATTATATTAGCATGTATTTGTTTTTATTTATTCTTACCATTTGAAGTTTAGTTTAAATTCATTATCCGCCTTACAACCTTTATGTTCAATCCAAGCCCAGAATCCAACTGGGTACTTTACCTTTCAATTGGTGCTTCAGAAACTATTTGATATCTTTACTTTTTTGTCTTACTCTTAAGGTCCAGAGGCTGACTAACCTTTTATTTTCTATTCAGTTCAAGACCTAATTGACACATTTTACTTTTTTGTCGGAGTCTAGAATCTGACTGACACATTTCACTTTTTTGTCAAAATCAAGAACCTGACTATCACATTTTACCTTTCTGTCTAAATCTAGAACCTAACTAGCACATTTTATCTTTTGTCTTTATGTTTAAGTCCAAACTTGCCCGACAGTTTTGCTTTATTGTCAAAGGTACAGAAACTAATTTACCTCACTCTTCTTTCAAAGTTCAGAATCTAACTAGCATCTTTACTTTTTTTGACAAAGTCTAGTACATCTCTTGCAACTTTTATTTTTAGCCTAAGCCCAGTATCTGCATGACAACCTTTGTTTTTAGTCAAAATTCAATGTCGATTCACAATTTTGTTTAACACAAATTGCCATAAATTAGGGCTTCCTCTAACAGCTGAGTGTTCACTATATTTGTCTTTGCATTCCTTGTGCACCTTGTTCATTTTAGACAAAAATTAATTTACTTCTTTAATCAGTTCTAATCAACTCTAACTTCAAAATGTTTTTAATTAATATGAACTGAGTAAAAAAGGAGTAATTGTGAATACCAATTTTTTGCTCTCAAATATTTTTTTTAATAAAAGTATATATTAAAAAAGATAAATAATAGGGTTGTTTTAACAGAAAAATTGAAAAAATTGAAAAATTAATTTGATTCCAGAAAGGGAAATCTTGCATTATGCAGGATTTTGTAAAATTAAAAGAGAAAAACTTAGGAATTTGGCGTTTTATAAAAACCCTAAAATTACAAAATGAAAACCAATATAAAGATGAAAAGAGAGATCTAGTGGTGGATGGCAACTAGTTTTCATAAGAGGAGCAACAAAAAATTTTAGATGGCAGCAACAAAATTTTCTTTAAAAAAAAAAAAAGAGAAGCGAAATCTTTAAGGAGATAACTTTGAAGATCAATAGCAAAAGAAAGAAAAATACAAAAAAAGCAAGAATCAAAGAATAGAAAAGAAAACATAATAACAAAGAAAATAAGTAAATATTTCTTTCAATTTTTATCATTCAAAAACCTTTACAAAATTTTAATCTTGATATATCTCATTTATTTTTATGTTTCTTATTATGTATGAAATGCTCACCTGATGACATTTAACATAAAAAAAAGAAAAGAAATAAACCTACTAAACTGAGTGAATGAAGAATCTTCTATTTTTTTTTTGTACCTCTTTCTTTTCTCACAACGTCTTTATTCTCGTTGTAAAGCTCAACACTTAAAAATTAATACACTATTCCTTTGTTTTCTTTCTTTCTTTCTCTTTTCTCTATCTTTCTCTTATTATCTCCAATATTTGAAAAGTATAGTTCAGCCTCCTCGATAATATATAAATGTTAGCCAAATCTATGTGCCTCACGTTTATAAAGTTAAAATCGTACTAAAGATTTCAGCTTTATTTTTGTACCTTTTATCAAATTAATCTAATATATTGTCTACCATCATTACATTGTCTCCTATTGTATAGGAATTGAATAGCAAAGTTCAAATTCATGAATATTTAACAAAGAAAAAAAGGGGCCATCTAATGCTTATCTTGTTTGACGGCACAATTTCAATAAGGTCCTTTAGGTGATTTTTTTTTTTTTTTGGACCAAGCCAAATTTTAAGAGTTTTGATAAATAAAAATTAGTAGACTGATAAATGACTCTAATTAAACTCAATAAAAATAACAAAGAGAATTAAAATTGATTAAACTCATTCTTTTATCATTTTATATTTGAGTTATTTTTTTATTATTTTATTTCTAAAATTTATCTCATTTTAACATTAATAATAAATTCTTCTTAATTTTTTATGATATTACATTATTTATGTCTTAATTTTTATGATAGTTATTTATTCTTTAGGATTGTTATCTTTTATTTCTTTTTATTTTATATTTCTAAATTATGTGATTTAATTTTATATTTATAATTATCTCCTCTTATGATATGAATAATAAATTCTTTTTTATATAAGTAATAAATAAATAATAATATAATTGCATGAATTTATAATACTAACGTGTAACTTCTCTATCGTCATGTATAGTAAATTAATAAAGTCCATGTGTACATAACAAGACTTTATGCAACATTAATTTATCATATGTTGACTTTAATTAATTAGATAATTGTCTTAATAATCAATCAAGATGTGTTTCACTTTTAATTACTAACTTATTAATCAATCAATTTAAATTGAAGTGTTTTAATGTAACAATTTATAATGTTAATATGTAGCGATTCAACCTTTATGCGTTATAAATTGTCAAAACCTATATAAACCAAAGTTACCTTAGGTTTTATATACCATCAATATATTAAAATAATTATATCTTATTTCTAAAATTAATCAATTATATATTTTTTTATTTAATTAAAATCTATTATCTAGAATATTTGCATCATATTAATGCAGCGATTTATAGAGTTATTGTGTAATATCTCTACTTTTATGCTTTAAATCGTTAAGACTTTTGTTTATCAACATTACCTCGAGTCCTGTGCAATATAAATTTATCAAATAAAGTTTTAATCTTTTTATTAAATAATTATCTTCCTTAATCAATTTAAATACATTTGTTCATTAAATAGAATTAATTTCATATTGTAAATCTACTTGTCATATTTCTAACTTTGGTAAATTAAATAACTAATTATTTAATTTTATTTCTTCATTTTATTATACAATTTTTATAACATTGATGTGTAATTTACATTACCTTCAGTTGTTCAATAAATTATAAAAGATTTATCTATAATTTACGCTATCTTAAAAATTTTCTTTCAACATGAATTATAATATAAATTTAAATATTTTATTTACAAATAAAAATTTTCTTTTAACGATTTACAATATAGTTGTGCAATCTCTCTTCGTTTTCTATATTATTTATCGTAGCATGCATGTATAACCGTATTATTATGTATCATAAATATTATAATCTTATCAAAATAATTTTAATTTCAAAATGAACTTTCTTTTACTAAATTTAATTTTAATCAACCAACTTCATAATTTTTATAATAGAACTACATATTGTTTTTTGAACTCATTTTTAAGATGCATGTATAATGACTTTTGAATTCATTTTTTATTTTTAAGATTATTTTTTAAAGGTTTTTTAAGGTTTTCTTAAATAAATTTTAGTGATAATTCCTTTAATTTTTTGAAAAATATTTTTTATTCTTAAAGATATTTTCTTAACGCGTTTTCACTTTACTGTTCAATCACTTGGTTGCAGTAATTACATATAGAAAGAATCGAATACATGTTACAATTACATATTGTTTCTACAAAATCAATAACCACATTTTCAATTGACTTGCGCGTTAGTTGGTTTTCAAAGTGTAATTACTAATTCTTAAACCTAAAATAATCCTTAAGTCAAATTTCAAAATATGCAAAGATTATGGGTTGAACCGACATGGTAAGAATGCAAAAGATGATAAAATAAACTTTTAGCACACCTAAATTTGTAAAAAAAATAAAAATAAATGAGGAGTCCTCTTTCTTAAAACAAAATTTTAAAAGTTAAACAAACAAAATGTATGAAAATAAAAATAAAAATGTATTAATTAAATTACATATGCATACATCAAAGGAAGTAAAAGATATATTTTTCTAATTAGTATACATATGACTTTGTTTATCAATTTTAAGTTGCAATAAATTTGTTAAAAATGCTTCAATGCAAAACTTCAAATTTGATAAAATTAAGTCATTATTTATGTAGGATCGCAACGATGTTGTTAAAAGAATTTTAAAAAAAAATTAAAGGTTTAAGAAGCAAAATTTTAGCTTTCAATAATTTTTTTTATTACTTCTCAACGAATATATTTGCACATATATATATTTCTCAACGAAACCCAAATTTTACATTAATATTTTTCTAAACTATATTTGATTGCACCTTCACATACAGTCTAATAATTTTTTATGGGTAGTTAGGTAGATTATTACAATGCTTTCTGGTTATAATTTAAATTGAATTAAAAATTCAACAAAAAATAAGATATGTATTAACATTTTTTCATTCCAAAACATGAAAGATTATAATTAATTGGAAAAAAAAAACAAAAGGATTCTAAGCAAGAAAAATGCTCAAGCACTTTTAATTTCAAACCTAATTTTGTACATAGACCCTATTTTTTATTTAATGCAAATATCATCCATTTTATTTTACATATATATATGCTACCGTAACTTCTTAAGGAACATTACATCATGCATATGCTTTCAACAATACTAGAAATTAGAAAATATCCTTAATTGCTGGTGATTGGCTCACTTTGCACATAGCTTCTAAGGAATTTCGCCTTGACACAGTGAGTCCTTTTCCTTCAATCATGACAATTTCTTCATCACTAGTTCGTTTCCACTCAAAACATTGAATCAATAAGGCTAAGGTTAAGCCCACTGTGCGTTGAGCCAAGTTTGCTCCAGGGCAAGCTCTCCTCCCTAACCCAAATTGAAGTAATTTGTTTGCTTCACCTTCTTTCTCAAACCTCTCAGGCTTAAAGAGTGTAGGGTCACTCCATAAACTGGGATCTCTATGAATGGCCCAAGCATTCACCAACAAAATTGTGTTCTTTGGGATCTTATATCCTCCTATGGTGCAATCTTCTGAAGACAAATGAGGTACCAACATTGGAGCAGCAGGGTGCAATCGAAATGTCTCATTTATAATGCTTTGAAGGTAAGGGAGATTTGGAATGTCAGGCTCATCTACTAGGCGATCTTGGCCTATATGAGTGTCTATTTCTTGTTTAGCTTTTTGCAATATTTCAGGATGATTTAGTAAATTAGACATTGCCCATTCTAAAGTTACAGCTGATGTGTCTGTCCCTGCAAGAAGCATAACCTGTAAAATCCAAGAAAGGAAATTAATATCAATTCAATGAATATGAAAAAAAAAATCATTTTTTAAATGTTAAAAATGTTATCCATTTTAAAATTATTCTATTTGGTTAATATTTTGTATTTATCATATATAATTTCTCTTGTACTTCAATATTATTTTACTTTCATTTTAATCATCTTTTATTATTGATGTCATATTCTACTTGATATAAAATTTATCTAACTAAAATTCTACAATATACTTACAATTAGTTTTTTTATTATCTAAATACATGTAAACTAGTTGTTTAAAATTGATTATTACATTTTGACGTAATTGGTAATCCATACCTTAACCTTCTGTATATGAATTTTCTAAACAACATAGATCATAACCTCAATGGAAAGGAGTTGCAAATGCATGTTTCATACTCCCAATTAGTTAATTGTGTATTTTTATTTTTCCTTTTGAATAAATAAGTAAAACAGAAAACGTTTTTGAATCCTAAACGATAAGCACTCTTAAAAAATAATAATATATACATATGCCTAAAACATGATGTGGCATGGTAGACTAAACTATTTCTAAAGCATGACATCTTAAAAGGTTATCACTAAGAAAAGTTCTCTATTTATTCTACATCCGTTTTTCTCCATATTTTTGACATAAACTAATAATTTCTGATAGAAGATAAAGGCAATGTTTGAAAAGGTTTTACCTTATTTTTCTTTACCATAACTATCTATGACTATGACATGGACAAGTAAGGGTTTGTTCTTTTCACTGACATTTCTAAAAGTTGTTTTTCTCTTGGATGACTTTTCTTTTTCTTTTTCAATAAGTTAAGGGTTAAAATGGTGAGGTAGTCTAGGTTTAGTTCCATCCTTTTAATGGGCCATTTATTTTGACAATAACATTTAAAATTAGCTGCTTTAATTATTTTCTTTGAAAATTAAATTGAGGTTTTAAATGAGTACCAAAAATTAAAGATAGAAAAATAAAATATAATACATAAAAAATCACTACTTAATTTTTGAATTTTATTAATAAGTTTATCCAAATTATATAATTTATGTTTTTAACTCTAAAGGGAAGGATTTCCATCCTCTTGGATGACTTGTAGCTTCTTCCCCTCTGATTTATAGAAGTGGTTTCTGAAACTCACAAAGTGGTAATGCAATTGTTATAATTTTATAACATGAAAAACAACAAAATTTTCTTTCAAATGAATTTAAAAATTTTCCACGAAGAAATGTATAATAAACAACATACCGAGGTTGACGGTTTCAATGTTATAGGTTTAGGCTTTGCAAGGAAATTGGTTTCTGAAGATAAAGTACAGAAGGAGAAGACTTATTCGAATGCTACACTTGTTTAAAAGTTTTTAAATTACATGAAAAAATTATAAAAAATCTTTAAAACTCTTATAAAGCAATATTTTTAAGTTTTTTTAGTTTTTAAAATTTTCTATTAATCCTCCTTTCTCCTAATTTTTCTTTTCTTTTAACCTTCAAACTATTTTCACACAATCTCTAATTTACATCATGAACTTCAAAAATTAATAGGTTCCATGTGTCTTTTTCTTTATTCCCTTCCAGTTTTTGTTTTGGTCAATTTTCCCCTTCCAGATCAGTTTTTGTCAGTTTGCATGAGAGATCAACCTCACAACAGGTCATTAATTATTGGAAGAAAGTTTTGCATTCGACCACAGTTTCGACCAATAGTAGTCTATCTCATAAGATTGTTGACTGTGTAGAATGATGATCCCGTAATAACTGCTCCAGTACTAGGGACTAGGGTCTCTTCTATCCTCATCCACAATTGCCATTATTGACCCATCAACGTAACTCCCACACTTATCCTCTTTTATATTATTTTGTTTGGAAAATATTTTGGGTATATACACTTGAATAGCGAAAAAAAATCATATAAAGACTGATAAAATACATTAACAGATAAAAAAAAAGTTAAATCAATGCATAATAATAATGCTAAAATAACTATCAATCAAATTTAAATGTTTTAAATAGTGATTAAAAATATTAAAATAAAAGATATAATAACAACAATAATAATAGTATCACATATATTTTCTTTATTAGTTCAACTACCAGACCGATAATAATAAAGTATTTATCAATCTGAATTGAATTTGTTTTTATCCATACATCGTAAATTTATCCTAATCAGAGCATGTGGCTACTAACTCACTATAAAGTCCAACCACAATACCCATGCCGACATTTACTGAGTACACTTTTTTTTTTAATTTTCTTTTTTAAAAAAGCAATAACTTAGTTTTATTAACTTCTTAAAATTTTTAATAAACCAAACGATTATTTTAAAAAATATACACCGAACATGCACTCACAGTAAGAAAAAAGAAAAAAAAGTAATAATTTCTTGGCACCTTGTTTTAAAATGTCAAATAAGCGTTAAAAAAAGATAAAATGTGGGACAGATAATGTTAGAGGGAAACGAAAACGCAGAGATAGCAATAATAATTACCAGAGCGAGCCCTTTGATGATGCGATCCGTATAGTACTGAGGTTGTAGTTGTTGTTGAGCTAGGAGATGATCTATCATAGTATTGGCACGTTGCTTCCTATTATGATGCTCGTCAATGAGTCCTTGTAAGAACGCATCAGTTCTCCTACTGATCCTTTTCAACCTCTTCTCCAAATTATCAAAATCGAACCATCTTAGAAAAGCCAAAAAATCACCTGGGTTATTGGCCCCTCCCAAAGTCACCAACTCCTTAATAATCTCTCTAAATTGTCTCGCTTCCTCAACATCACTCACATCACAGTCCTCACCGTAATACCTTTTCCCCGAAACCATCCTCATTATAGTGTTAAACGTCATCTCCGAAAACTTTGATTTAAGTTCCACCTTGGAAAACTCTTCATGAGAGTCTTGGGTTAGCTTTTGCATAAGCCTCATTATTTCGTCCCTTCGTATTTCCAAGAAAGAGTTGAGGCGGTGAGATGAGAGAACCTCGAGTGAAACGATGCGTCGTAGATTGCGCCAGTGGTCTCCGTAGGGGGAAACTGCGATGGTAGTGTTGTTGTAGCCGATGTACTTGCCAGTGAGAAAGTGAGGTCGGTTTGCCAAAACGATGTCGTTTTTGGTGAAGCATTCTTGAGCTAAGGATGAGGATGAAACGACAACGACAAGGCGGGAACCGAACCAAAGAGAAAAGATTTTGCCGTATTTTTGGGATATGGCATGGAACGTGCGGTGGATTGGTTGTTTGAGTTGGTGGAGGTTTCCGATTATTGGGAAAAAGGGAGGTCCTGGAGGAAGGTTTCTGAACGTTCTTAATTGGAATAAGAGCTTGAGAGAGATGAGTAAAACGAGAGATAAAAAGGAGAAGGAAAAGAAGGACATGGACATGTTGAATTGAAGCTTTTGGGGGATTGGGTTCTGTTACTGTCTTGCTAAGCTAGTTAGAGAGTGCTGGCGAAGGCTATTTGTTTGGTCGATTTGAAGCCCCACTTGCACATGAGTTTATAAAGGCGCATGACAAGTACACAAATTCAAATAGTTCAATCGAAATTTGGCTCGGGTTGCGTTTGTGCTTACGTAATGAGTCACAGTTCGACCAACGGATCCTGGCATCACCGCTTACGAGCGATGGCAGATGGCAGGGGTGACAGATTTTTCACTACTGCTTAAAATATGTAATCTTTTTATTTGATATTTTATATTATCCCCTTTTTAATAAACTTTTTATTAATATTTTGTTAATATATTTATGTAATTTAAATTTTGAAAAATTGAATTCTTTAAATAATATTTAATTTTTGTATGGATTAGGTAAACATTTTTAAAGATTAATTTAGATTACCATCATTGAATTGACTAAGAACTAAGTCGATATAGGATTCAATTTTTGGAAAAGTAACTGAGTGTTAGGAGGAGAAAATTTTGACAGGAGAATTAAAATGTTTATACTGTCTTCAAAATTATTTAACAATTTTTTTCAGATTAAATTAAATTGAACATTGTTTATTAATTAAATTGAGTAACATTTTTATGTATTGAATTCAATTCTCACTTGTATTTGATATTTGAAAGGTAATCCATAAATTTAATATAAATTTGTTTATCATAACTACATTCTATACAGATAATAAAATTTTATCTATAACAAATTAAATAAAAAATTTGATACAGAGATAACCTGATGTGAATTAACAAGTGAGTAATTTTTTTACTTTTCAAATTAATTCTAAATCAAAATAAAATCGTACTTATCAGCCTTACATGTATCAGAAAAGCAATTATTTGTGAAGTTGAATAATACTGATAATACATCTTTATAATACACTTTTTAATATTAGTTAAATTTTATTAAATATTACAAAAATTATGTAAGATTTAACTTTTTTTATGTTTACAGTAATGTTTCTATTTTAGTTAATAATAAAAAATTTATTAGAGAAAGTGAGTTGCTAATTTGCTAGCATTTCTCGTGAAGTTTATTTGATAGTTTATTAGTTAATTAGGAAGTACAAAAATTGCTAACACAGTATTGTTTAGATTAGAAGTGAAATAGGAAAACAAGAAATAAAAAAGAATGAAATAAGAAGAATGTAAATAAAATTAAAATATAAATGATATACTATTTGAATGAATAGAAATAAAAAAGAAAAAGTGAAAAAAATATTTTTGTATATTTGAATGAGTGAAAAGAGAATAAAAATATATAAAAATTAAACTACTTCTAAAAAATAATTTTATTTAAAAAAATTATTATATATTTTTTATCCGAAGGTAAATTTATTAAATTTTAAAAAAAAATTGGGTATAAAATAATAATTTTATGTTTTAAATAATTAAATAAAAAATTGTTGTTTCCTTCCATGCATTTCAGGGCTGAAAGGAGGAGAAACGGCAAGGGTGGGTCTACAGAAATGGCAGTAATTTGATGTCTAAATTTCAGTCATCCAAATCAGAGAAACGTATTGAAATTGTTCATTTCAGTACATGCTCATTTTAGTACGTGCTATTTCACCGTAAGCAAACGAGGCCTAAAAGTATAATCAGTAAAAATTGTTTAAACGTAGGATTTGTTGAAAAATTTATTTAAACAATGTTATTTTTAAAAAAAATCTTAAAATAAAAATTTCTTAAAACAAATTTTCTGTTTATTATGAATTTTGGCCAAATCATTACTTATATTGCACCTGCATGTCTGATAAGGCATTTTTTTTAATTTTTTAATATATCGATTACTTTCAATATTCTTTCGTATGTGGATATATGGGCAAAGAATTTTGATGAATAAATAAAAAACTAAAAATAAATAAATAATTTTACTAGTATTAGACAAATAAAAATAATTTTATTAGTAGTTTGTATCGGCCTATGATGATACTTATTTAAAATTTCAAATCCAATGGTGTATCGATTCTGCCGTTTCAACTGCTTTATTAGAGGGTCAGTGGTGATATATTTTTAGGTTTTGACACATGGCATTGTCAATACAGGTGCCCAAAAGCCTTCTTCCCTTCTCTTGTGCTTTATCTTCCATTAACGCTGACCAAAAGCAATATTTTCTACATTGTTTGTGTGAAAATTTTGAGAACGATTTTATGATTTTACAGTGTTATTTTGAACAAAATCTAAAGGTAAAAATGAAATTATAAAATAAATATGTTTATTTTATTTATAAAAAATAATAATTTATTATATTTTAAAAATTTACAGGTGCCAATATCAGAGAGTATAGAAAACGAAGTCCATTTTTAATAGATAACAGAGGTTAATGAAGAGTAAAAATTTCATATATAATTTTTTATAATTTATTGAAGTGTTAATATATATTTTCTGTTATTTAATGTAAAATTAATTGAAAATGTAATATTTGAATTAATTTTTTTGTTAAAAATTAAATTTAGAAATTGATTAATTGTTGTTATATTTAACCCTAAAGTTTAGCATTAAATTGAAATTTTTTTAATATGTTTAGGCTTAAGTGCAGTAGTGAAAAAATTATAAATTATGTTAAACAGATTTTTATTTTTTGTAATTATGAATAAAATAAATTTTTGGTTGAGTGTTTTTATAAAATAGTAAATTGAAATTAAGGTAGTTTATAAATGCAGTATCATAATATATTAAGTTGGCTGAGATAAAAAAATGGATAATTAGTTAAATTAAAAAAATAAAAATGCATAATAAAACATGGAAAATTAATAAAAATTTGTAAAAAGCTTTATTATTTCCGGATTAATTAGAAAGGTAAATAAAAGGTATAAAAAATATAATTTTATGAAAAATGTTGAAAATGTAGAATAATTTTGAGTAGACTAAAACAAAATTTTAGGTTAACAAATTTAAAAAATAGTAACTAGTAGTTTAAAATTTGTTACCAATAAATTAGAAATAATAGAATTTTAAAAGATAAAAATTATAAATAAATTCATTCTTAATGACAATATGAAGAAAAAATTTAAAATATAATTGAAATGAAATATGTATATTTAAATTAATAAAAATGTAATATCGTTAAAAATAATAATTACTTAAATAATTTTTTATAGGATAGTAAAAAAAAACCTAACTTATTTGAATTATATTTTTATTATGTTAAACAAAATTTGAATTTTTCGGTTATTATACACTAAAATAGAATTTATATCGGTAAAATTTGTTAAAAGAAAATGTAATTACATGATATTCTATAATTATACGTATTGTTTTAAAACTTTTGAACTTAACATCTATTATATTAGAAATATTGAACAAAATTATTTACATCTTATTAAATATTTAAAATAATTATTATCTTTACAATTTATTAACACAAAACTTACTATGTGTATTTAAACAATAATGTTAATTTGGAATAACTACTTTTATACTGTTAATAAATTTATAATTTGTATAAATATAAAATTAAAGTAATATTAGGTATCAATATGTAATTGTAATATTATCTTATATTATTCATATGATTATGCATTTTATCAATTATAGAGTAATTTGGTTGACTTAATTTGTAGTTGTGTATTTAAATCATTTAAATATTAATTTTACCAACTGATTGTTATGTTTAATATGTTAATAATACTAACATTTTATTTTAAATTATCATATGACATCATTTTATTCACAAAGTTTAGTGATTAATTCAGGGTTAGAGGATCTATCATTGTTGCGTTTTCAAAGTATACGTGTGTCTAAACACATTTGGGATAGTCGAGAGTATCCCATGATGAAGGTTATGAAGTATCAATTTATACTAGCTGGACTAAACAATGTTCTAGCAGAGATTCTACCACATTTGGAGAGCTGGCTGGCTTTGCTGGAGTAGCACAACTTGCCAACTTTTCATTGGACATGCACTTAATCACCACAATGGTTGAAAGATGGAGGCCTAAAACACACACACCTTTCTTATGTCACCAGGAAAATGCACCATAAAGCTTCAAGATATAGCTGTACAGATAGGTCTTTGGGTTGATGGGAGGCTTCAAGTATTTGCAGCTACGGGAGGTTTTGGCTATAGATAGTTGAAGATAGTCTAGATATTAGGCCACCACCAGAGGCTTTTGTAGGGAGCAGCTTGAAGCTTAGTTGGTTAGACCAACATTTCAGTGACGTTGCTATGCATAATCAAAACGAGCTTCAATTAACGAGATTCGCTAAAGCGTATATTATGAGACTGATTAAAGGGTTTATGTTAGCAGATCACCCTAGCAACAGAGTCACAGTTCGATACTTGCCTTTACTTGAGAACTTCACTATCACAGGACAATATAGCTAGGGAGGAGTAACTCTTAATTTCTTATATAGAGAATTATGCATGGCGACAAACATTGACAGAGTTGTCATTGGGGGTTTGACTCCATTGTTGGCTATGTGGGCATAGGATAGGTTTTCGTGTTTGGCTCCTCCCTTACCTCCACATTTGCGGCATGATCTTCCCTATGGTGCTAGGTATGCAACTTTATGATTTTTGTACTTTTAAAAATTATTATATATAATTTAATAATTTTTTATTAACTTAGTTTACTTTGTTATTGTTTAGGTGGTTAGTAAATTGGGTGCGCAGAAACTTGAAGAAAGATGTCGCATATTATAGATATAAACTTGATCATCTTAAACGGGACGAGGTATTATTTAATTTCAAACACTTTAATAAATATTATAAATATTCAAATGTTTATTTTTAATGAATCTTATTTATCATTTTGCAGATTGTTTGGCAACCTTATAGTTAGGATATACTTGAGTCACTGCCACCCTATATGCTTGCAAGGGATGAACATTTGAAGGTCAGTGGTGCCTTTGATTTGCATTCAGATCTCTGAGTGGCACCAATCGGACCATGTAATGCGTCAGTTTGGAATGGTGCAATACATTCCTCGTGCTCCATACCAACCTTATGCATTACATGACATCACACTTAGAGGGAAGATGGGAGAGAATTAGAATGATAAGTTTAGACACGTTTTAGCATTATGGGAGAGGCACAATGATTGGGTTTTCAGTAATGGCCCTCAAGAGGGATTATTGAGTTCTAATTCAAAGTACATATGGTGGTATATGACAGTTACTAGATGTTGGATGACAAGAGATGCAACAGTTCTTTCACTTTTTGGTATGTATTTGCATGTCCCAAATATTATCTATACAATATGATGAATATGCTTTTATAAACTTACAATTTAATCAAACATATACTACCTCCTTATGCAATGCAGGGAGATGCACATGAAAGGACATACTACTTGGCTAATGATGGCCAACAATCATGCATATTCGATGAGCTGCAGACATTAAGCG